AAATCACATATCATCCCTGGCATATCCATCCTTATCCCTCCGATGATCAATATCATATAGCCTCCCTTATCTCTCCTTAATATCAATATATCAATAGCCACCCTTATCGCTCCTTAATAATAATAACGGTGAAATACCACCCTTATCCTTCATAATATCAATAACACAATAGTCTCGCCCTACCCAAGCTCATAGATCATATCACAATTGCCTCGTCCTACCCGGGCTCACATATCACAATTGTTAGATTATATATCGCAGCGGAAGCAATTACAGTATCATATTCACGTGTAAATTAAATAATTAGCACATACGGAGATTATTCGAGTTACCTCTTGAAGCGTGAACAAAGTAGATTAATCTCAGTCTCCAGTTCTAGAGTTGCAAGACTGCGATTTCAACAAAACCTCCACATTCTTCTACCGTGTTACCCAAACAATCTCCGAAAAGAGAGAACTTTGGGTGGGCAAAATTCAAAAGAGGAAAACGTGTAAAACCAGTGCAAAAACGGCCAGCCCTATATTGAGTATATATAGCCACGTTTTTTAGGTTAAACCCTTTTCCAAAACCTGTTAGGTTTTCTTCTTCCACTAAGAAAATATTTCCTTTCTTTCCTATTATTTAGGCACAATAGGGACCACGGAATTTAATTAACAAGGCTTCCTATTATGGAATTAATTTTGAAATTTTGAAATTAATTTCTACCATAATAAATTACGAATTATTTAACTAAAAATTCGTAATTACACTCCTTAGTTCAATTTCAAAATTCTTTCATAAAACCTTATTTAAATCCACATGTTAAGATTCAGATACTAACCAATCAAATTAAATTACTGACAATTTAATTTATTAATTACTTCCTTTAGACTTTCGCTTAACTTATTTCATGTGTCGGATACAATATCCACCAGCCGAGTTTACACATGAAAACTTATAAGCTTTCATAAAGGAGTATCATCAATCTCAAAAATCGAGACATGAATTTTATCAACTAATTATTACTTCGCCAATGTATATCATTATTGTCCAATTTACCAAGCTTATTGACCCACGAAAGAATCTCGCCTTTTAATAAATCAAAACAATAAATGACACACACAACTAATAATAATTATATCAAGATTAAGAGTATAAGTACATTGAATGGACTAGAGAAATTATTTTATTAAGTCAGTATAAAATACTTATCTCTACTTGATCCGTTCAATACATACAAAATGTACTAGCATAAGAAGTTAGAATTAAACCATTCACATAATCAAGATAAATTACATTTAATCTTGTGCTACAACCATTCCAATGATTTATCCAATTCTATCATTAGATTGTGAACATAAACTTTATGACTTATAAGAACCAGTGATTTAATCTTTCGTATATAAGCTAAACTCTATACACTAAATCATCTACTATATAAGCAATGGACACACATACAAATACATGATCTATTTAAAATAAATTTTTATTGAATTGAATAAATAAATAAATAATTATTCCATGAAGAATACTATAACAATACACATGGTTTATAGTATATCATAACAATCTCCCACTTAGACTCATAACCATGCATATATAATTATGACACCCATTCCGTCTACATGCCTATCAAAAGTCTTCTGTGGCAAGTTCTTAGTAAACGGGTCCGCCAAGTTGTTCTCCGACGCAATCTTGGTGACTACTACATCCCTTTTTTTCACTATTTCACGAATTAAATTATATTTACGCTCAATGTGCTTTGCTCTTTTATGGCTTCATGGCTCCTTCGAATTTGCAACCGCACCACTATTATCACAATAAAGTGTTATTAGTGCTTGAATCGAGGGAACCATACCCAACTATCTCAGGAAGTTCCCGAGCCAAACCGCCTCTTTGGTTGCCTCAGAGGCAGCCACATATTCGGCTTCCATGGTGGAATCAACAACACAAGTTTGCTTGATGCTCCTCTAACTTATGGCTCCACCTCCCAGAGTAAACACATTTCCTGAGGTAGACTTTCTAGAATCTCTATCTGATTGGAAATCCGAATCAGTATACCCAATAGGCACAAGGTCCTCCGAATAGTAGACTAGCATGTAATCCCTAGTCCTTTTCAGGTACTTCATTATATGCGTAACGCTGTCCAATGCTCTCTCCCAGGATTAGACTGAAATCTGCTAACAATACCAATGGCAAAGCAGATATCATGTCTAGTGCACAACATAGCATACATTAGACTCCCCACAACAGATAATAGGGGACCGCCTTCATCTTTTCTATCTCTTCATCGGTTTTAGGAGACTGGTCTTTAGATAGAGAAATTCCATGCCTGAAAGGGAGAAATTCTTTCTTGGAATCATGCATGCTAAACCTGTAGAGTATTGTATCAATATAAAGAGCCTGGGATAAGCCTACTATCCTTCTCTTGCGACCTAGCAAGAGCTTGATCCCAAGGATATGAGCCGTTTCTCGCAAATCTTTCATATCGAAGTGTGTGGACAACCACTGTTTAACTGAACCCAACATGCCCACATTACTTTCTATGAGCAATATGTCATCTACGTATAAGATTAAAAATGCCACTTTGTCCCTATCCTACTTTTTGTATACACAAGACTCGTTAAGACACTGATCAAAACCAAAAGTTTTAATCGCCTTGACAAAACAAGTGTTCCATGCCTTATATGCCTGTTTCAGTCCATAAATGGACCTTTTAAGCTTACACAACATGTGTTCCTTGCCACTTTCCACGAAACCGTCTGGTTGCATCATATAGATGCACTCATCAAGACTTCCATTAAGGAAATCTCTCTTGACATCCATTTGCCAAATCTCATAATCATAATGATCAATAATGGATAAGAGAACCCTTATAGACTTAAGCATGGCTACCGGCGAGAAGGTTTCCTCATAATCGATCCCTTCTTTCTGAGTAAACCCTTTCGCTACAGGCCTTGCTTTAAAAGTTTGCACTTTTCCGTCTACACCTCTCTTTTTCTTATAGATCCACTTGTATCCAATGGGTTTAACCCCATTAGGTGGTTCTACAAGATCCCATACTTGATTAGAGTACATAGACCCCATCTCTGATTTTATAGCAGCAACCCATTTATCGGCATCTTTATCATGTAGTGCTTGGTCATAATTGACAGGTTCGGAAGTAGGCTCCTCAGTAATCCTATCATATGATTCTCCCAAGAGCGTATAACGAACTGGCTGTCTTATTTCTCTCCCACTACGACTACGCACTACATCAATTGCAACTACACCATTATGATCTTATAATTGAACCACATCATTATCAGGAACCCGAGTCTTCATGCTATCCACAGGGATATCAACGACTTCTTTCTATTGTGCAGTCTGCTCAACATAACTCCCACTACTTTGTGGTAGTATAACTTCGAGCACTTGTTCTTGCGGGACATCGAGTCTATTGACATTTCTCCCACTACTAAAATGCAATGGTATGTCAAAATCGACTTTTAGGGTTTACATCTGGTTGTTTTGTTTTTCATATGACTGAGTTTCCATTCCTTTGTTGAGTTCCTGTAAAACGAGTTTACTTCTAGGAACATCGTTCATCAAATAGTCCTCTTCAAGAAACTTGGCATTTGTGCTAACAATTACCTTTTTTCTTTAGGGAATAGAATAAACCACCCTTCATCCCTTTTGGATAACTACAAACACGCATACATCCGTTCTAGCCTCCAATTTATCCGTTTTCCCTTTTAGCATATGTGTCGGACAACCTCAAACTCAAATATCCCGCAGACTATGCTTGTGCTCAGTCCACAATTCTATAGGGGTCAAAGGTACTGACTTTGAAGGAACTAAATTCATAACGTAATTCGCTGTTTCTAAGGCATGTCCCCAAAAGAACGAAGGCAAACTAGAATAACTCATCATTGATCTAACCATTTCCATAAGAGTCCTATTTCTTCTTTCAGCTACACCATTTTGTTGTGGAGTTCCAGGTGCAAATAATTGAGATATAATTCTACATTCTGATAAATAACTAATGAATTCTGCAAAGAGGTACTCCCCACCACGATCAGATCGTAGTGTCTTGATATATTTATTATGTCGCTTTTCAGTCTCAGTCTTAAATTCTTTTAACTTTTCAAAACATTCAGACTTTCGACACAACAAATAAATATATCCATATTTTGAGTAATCATCTGTGAAAGTCACAAAATACTTAAAACCACCTCTTGCTTTTACATTCATTGGACCACACAAATCAGAATGAATTAACTCTAATTTATCACTTGCTTGATTTCCTTTTGAGGAAAAATTTTATTTTGTCATTTTTCCTTCTAAACAAGATTCACAAGTTGGTAGTGCCTCCACTTTTAATGAACTTAAAAGTTCACCCTTAACCAATCTTGAAAATCTGTTTAGATTTAAATGACCCAAACGCAAGTGCCATAAATATGTTTCACTCAATTTAGAAGAACATTTTCTCTTATTTGGTAAATCAACACAATTCAGTTCTTTAGGTTATAACAGTTTTGGAATAGAGTCAACAATAAAAAGACCATTAATCAATATAGCCGAAGAGAGATAACGTTTATTATGACTAATAACACATTTATCAATATCATAAAAATTAATGTCTTAACCATCTCTCATAGCGCTAGAAACCGAAATTAAATTCCTTCTAACGGGAGGTACATATAATGTGTCCTTTAAAGCTAAAACTCTATCACTACCAAACGAAATACTAATATTTCCTAATGCTAAAGTTGAGGATGTCGAACCATCTGCTTAATAAACATTGATTTCTCCTCTACTTAGCCGTCGTGTTACCTAAAACCCCTACAAATAAGTGCAGACATGATTAGTGGCTCCCGAATCTACACACCATGACATGGTAGAAATAGCCGCTTAAAGAGTTTCAACGACAAGAAGATGTAAATCACCTGGTTTATTTTTCAGCTTGGCCAGATAAGTCGGACACTACTTCTTATGATGCCCAGGCTTCTTGCAGTGATAACACTTGCCCTTAGCCTTTTTCACACCAGCAATTGCACCACCAACAGACGGTTTTTAGCCTTTTTCTTCTTCTGCCCGCCTCTCGGATTAGAAGAAGAACATGCCTCAAAATTCAATGCCACAGGGGGAGCTTGTTGCTTGATAATAGTCTCTGTCGATTGCAGCTCATTCAACAATTTTGCAAGTGACAAATCCATTTTGTTCATGTTATAATTCAGGCGAAACTGCTGAAAGCTGTCAGGTAGAGTCTGCAAGATCATTTCAACTTGCGTATCCTTATCAATGTTAGCTCCAAGGACCTCCAGTTCATTTAGAAGACTCATCATCTTCAGAACATGGTCCCTAACAGATGAACCTTCAACTATTTTGGTATTCAGAAGAGCTTTTTTGGTAGTCTGCTTAGCCGCACGATTCTGATCTCCAAATATTTCTTTGATATTTTCCAGAATGTCATAAGCAGACTCTATAGACTGATGCTGATGTTGCAGAACATTTGACATAGATGCCAGAATGTAACATCGCGCCATCTCATCAGCCTTAACCCATTTTTGGTAAGACTTTTGTTCATTATACGTAGCATCATCTCCAGGTTTTTCGGGACACACCTCATCGACCACAAATTTGCACTCTTCAAAAATTAGGACAATATCCAAGTTTCATTTCCAATCAACATAATTCGGACCCTCAAGTTTGTTTTGAGTAAGAATAGCAGTAAGGGGATTGAAAGCAGTCATTGTTAATCTGAGAGACAATTAAATAAATAGTTCAAAATCAGTCATGTATTATTTAAATATTAAAATTCAAAACGCACTACATATATATATATAATCCATGCACCTTGAACAATAAATTTCGATGGGAAAAGAGCTATTCTTGCAATATACATATATAATGACAGATTATTCACTCCATGAATTTAAACAGACTGTCACGACCCGAAATTTCCCACCGACGGGATAGTGATGGCGCCTAAAATTTCACTTGCTAGGCAAGCCAACGCTAGAGAATCATTAAACCCTTTCCTTATTTCTATTAAGTAAATAACAATAATTAACTAAAATAAAATATAATAAGTGAGGAATATCATAAAACTGTATTAATTACTACCACTCGGATCTGAAGTCACAATTTACGAGCATTCTAAAATTTACTACAAGTAATAGTCTGAAATAAATACAACAATCTGAATAAAAGAAATAGTAGAATAGAAATGATAGACGGGGACTTCAAGGTCTGTGGACGCCTACAGATCTACCTTGAGTCTCCGGACAACGGATCAATAGCAAAATCTCGATCAACCAGAGCCGGTATCAAAATTTTCATAGAAAGTGCAGAGTGCAGTATCAGTACAACCGACCCCATGTACTGGTAAGTGTCGAGCCTAACCTCAACGAAGTAGTGACGAGGCTAAGGCAAGGCACCTACAATTCAACAGTGTATATACAAATAACAAAAATGAAGAACTAAATAGGAAATGTCGGGAGAGGAACATACTGAGGGGAATACAAGATAAAGAACTACAACAGAATGATCACCGGAGCAGTCAATATACCATGAATTAACAGAAATAGTGAATACAGTAAGGAAAAATGCATTGCATCACCCTTCGTGCTTTTACTCTCAATCTCACCATAAAATTAATAGAAATGGCACGACATCACCTTTCGTGCTTTTACTCTCATATCATGGCACAACATCACCCTTCGTGCATTAACACTAACAATATGGCACGACATCACCCTTCGTGCATTAATACTCACAATATGGCACGTCATCACCCTTCGTGCATTAACACTCTCCCTTACCATAATGTAATGCATAGATAATAACATGGAGACAGAATAACAAGTACACACCTTACTTCAATACCTGGTTCCATAATATCAATCTCAACTTGAAATAAGAACTCAATTATCACTAGAAAATTTGTAAACATGATAAGAACGATAAATTGAACAATACTAGCATAACACGTATCAATTTGACAAGGGAAATGATAATATAAGAAAAACAGAGAAACATAGAAAAATAGGTAAATTTGGCAGTGCATAAGTACTTGTCACCTCACATATACGCCGCTCACATGGATTTCACTTAGCAAGAAATCTAAGGGTCCTAATTCCCTCAAGTCAGGATTAGACACAACACTTACCTCGCTCCGAAGACCACTTAATACTCAATCACAGCTTTTCCTTTGGAAGTCACCTCTAAACCACTCGTATCTATTCAAAAATGACTCAATAATATCAAATATTGCTAAAGGAATCAATTATATTGCATAAATTAAGTTTTTCAAATTTTCCTCCAAAAAGTCAAAAAACGACCCCGGGCCCGCTTGGTCAAAACCCAAGGTTCGGACCAAAATATTTTTACCCATTCACCCCCGAGCCCGAATATGTAATTAGTTTTGGAATCCGACCTCAAATTGAGGTCTAAATCCCCAAATTCCCCAAATTCCTAGTTTCTACCCTAACCCCTAATTCTACCATTAAACTCTAGATTTTTAGGTTGAATTCTAGTAAAATGAAGTAAAAGATTGAAAGAAACAAGTTAAGGAACACTTACCTATAATTTAGGGAAGAAAATATCTTTGAAAAATTGCCCTAGGCCTCTTATCCTTTTGAAAACAAGAAGAAAAATAGCTGGAGCCCGAAATAAATTATCACTGCCCAGCGACCTTCACACATGCGGTGCTTTGGTCGCACCTGCGCATCCGCATGTGCGGATGGGATATGCGCTTCTGCAGAGAAGGACTAGGCCAACTAGGGTCTCACCTGCGGACAGGGTTCCACTTCTGCGGTTTCGCTCATGCGGAGAAAAGTCTGCATCTGCAGAAAAACAAAGTCCAGGCCTGGGTCGCATCTGCGGGGCTTCGCTCGAACCTGCGAGCTTGCACTTGCGACCAAAGGCTCGCATGTGCGGGCACACCAAATTTGGTGCACCAGCAGCCTTGTTGAGGTTTGAACTCAACTCGCGCATCGCCCGAATGGCACCCGAGCCCTCGGGGATCCAAACCAAACATGCACGCAAGTCTAAAAACATCATACGGACCTGCTCGCGCGATCAAATTGCCAAAATAACACCTAGAACTCTAAATTTAGCACCAAATCAAATAAAATTCTCAAGAACACTTTAAAATTTCTATTTCCTCAACTGGACGTCTGAATCACGTCAAATCAACTCCGTTTCTCACCAAATTTCACAGACATGTCTTAAATATCACAATGAACCTGTACCGGGTTCGAAACCAAAATACGGACCCGATACTAACAATGCCAAATATCAATCAATTCTTAAAAATAAATAATTTTCAAACTATTAATTTTCATCAAAAATTCATAACTCAAGCTAGGGACCTCCGAATTCGATTCCGGGCATATGCCAGGTCCCATAATTCGATACGGACCTACCAGGATCGTTAAAGCACGAATCCGAGCCCGTTTACCAAAAATGTTGACCGAAGTAACTAAAATTAACTTTTAAGACAAAAATTCTTATTTTCATTAGCTTTCAACATAAAAGCTTTCCGGAAGCCTGACCGGAGTGCGCACGCAAATCGATGAGGGTAAAAATGAGATTTTAAGGCTTAAGAGCGCATATTCGAGTTCTAAAACATAAGATGACCTTTTGGGTCATCACACAGGCCATACTCAGATGGAGAGTAAATTGTTAATTTAAGCCAAGTGAATATCAACATTCAATATATATATACTAGTCTCATTGAACCAACATGCATACTCAGATGGAGAGTAAATACAAGTAATCAACAACAAGTATAACCTAGTGATTATCCATAATGAGTTTATCCGATTTGGAAGAAGACCTACATCAACGTGTAAAAACATTATATCACTAGAATTTAACCATGGAGTCTATAGGAAACAATCCCTACCACCACTAGATTAAAAACAACTCAAAAAATATTTGAAATATTTTCCAAAAAATTTAAAAAAACGTCCAAAACACCATCTAAACGACCTCGAAAGCCCCAAAAATGGCTTACATCATGAGCAAAGCTCATGTGTATTTCTCATTGGGCCGTTTCGCATGGACCTGCCAAAATTCAGGTCAATCGGAGTCCGTTAACATGTTGACCTCCGATTTTCTGGCCAATTCGGCCAAATAGTGACTCTTGCATTTTTCATGGATTAACGAAATTTTCAGATTATTCTAATCAAATATCATCAACAATAAGTAGATATTACATTATTTTCAGAATAATCATAATACTCAGAACAAATATTCATGCTAAAAACAATGCAGTTTTACAGAAAAACAATCTTTGCATATAATTCAAAACTTGCATATTAACATGATACTAATTTTCATTGTTCATCCTACTCATTTAATTAGATGTGAGTAGGCTCTAATACCAATTGCTGGATTATATATCGCAGCAGAAGCAATTACAGTATCATATTCACGTGTAAATTAAATAATTAGCATATACGGAGATTATTCGAGTTACCTCTTGAAGCGTGAACAAAGTAGATTAATCTCAGTCTCCAGTTCTAGAGTTGCAAGACTGCGATTTCAGCAAAACCTCCACATCCTTCTACCGTGTTACCCAAACAATCTCCGAAAAGAGCGAATTTTGGGTAGGCAAAATTCAAAAGAGGAAAACGTGTAAAACCAGTGCAAAAACGGTCAGCCCTATATTGAGTATATATAGACACGTTTTTTAGGTTAGACCCTTTTTCAAAACCTGTTAGGTTTTCTTCTTCCACTAAGAAAATATTTCCTTTATTTCCTATTATTTAGGTACAGTAGGGACCACATAATTTAATTAACAAGGCTTCTTATTATGGAATTAATTTTGAAAATTTAAAATTAATTTCTACCATAATAAATTATGAATTATTTCACTAAAAATTCGTAATTGCACTCCTTAGTTCAATTTCGAAATTCTTCCATAAAACCTTATTTAACTCCACATGTTAAGATTCAGATACTAACCAATCAAATTAAACTACTGACAATTTAATTTATTGATTACTTCCTTTAGACTTTCGCTTAACTTATTTCATGTGTCGGATACAATATCCACCGGCCGAGTTTACACATGAAAACTTATAAGCTTTCATAAAGGAGTATCATCAATCTCAAAAATCGAGACATGGATTTTATCAACTAATTATTACTTCGCCAATGTATATCATTATTGTCTAATTTACCAAGCTTATTGACCCACGAAAGAATCTCGCCTTTTAATAAATCAAAATAATAAATGACACACACAACTAATAATAATTATATCAAGATTAAGAGTATAAGTATATTGAATGGACTATAGAAATTATTTTATTAAGTCAGTATAAAATACTTATCTCTACTTGATCCGTTCAATACATACAAAATGTACTAGCATAAGAAGTTGGAATTAAACCATTCACATAATCAAGATAAATTACATTTAATCTTGTGCTACAACCATTCCGATGGTTTATCCAATTCTATCATTCGATTGTGAACATAAACTTTATGACTTATAAGAACCGATGATTTAATCTTTCGTGTATAAGCTAAACTCTATACACTAAATTATCTACCATATAAGCAATGGACACATAGACAAATACATGAACTATTTAAAATAAAACTTTATTGAATTGAATAAATAAATAAATAATTGTTCCATAAAGAATATGTAACGACCCGGTCGGTCGTTTCGAGAGATATAACCGTATTTTCCCCATTCCTACTTCTTTTAGTGTTATTCAACTATATTATGTTATATTAGGTTAGTTGGTTCGAGTCCGGAAGGAACTCGGAGTGAAATGAGACACTTAGTCTCATAATTGAAAATTTTAAGTTAGAAAAGTGGACCGGATATGGACCTATATGTAAACGATCTCGGATTTGAATTTTGATGATTCTAATAGCTCCGTATGGTGATTTTGGGCCTAGGAGCGTGTCCGGAATATTATTTGGGAGTCCGTAGAGGAATTAGGCTTGAAATGCCGAAAGTTTTATTTTTGAGAAGTTTGACCGTGGGGTTGACTTTTTGATATCGAGGTCGGAATCCGATTCTAAAAATTGAAATACCTCTGTTATGTCATTTAGGACTTGTGTGCAAAATTTGAGGTCAATCGGACGTGATTTGATAGGTTCCGGAGTTGTTTGTAGAAATTAGAAATTTCAAAGTTCATTAGCCTTGAATTGGGGGTGTAATTCATGGTTTTAGCATTGTTTTGAGCTGATTTGAGGATGCGACTAAGTTCGTATGATGTTTTAGGACTTTTTGGTATATTTGGTTGAAGTCCCGAGGGCCTCGGGTGAATTTCGTATGGTTAACGGATCAAAAATTGAACTAGAACAGCTCGTGCAATTTCCTTCTGTTGGAAATTGCTTATGCCCAGAAATCGAGCCCAGATCGAGCCACCAGGTCGGAGCCCAGGGTCGAGGGTCACGATTGAAGGCATGATCGAGCCCAGGGTCGAGGGTCAAGATCGAAGGCATGATCGAGCCCAGGGTTGAGGGTCACGATCGAAGGCATAATCGAGCCCAGGGTCGAGGGTCACGATCGAAGGCATGATCGAGCCCAAGGTCGAGGGTCACGATCGAAGGCATGATCGAGCCCAGAGTTGAGGGCCATGATCGAAGGCATGATCGAGCTCAGGGTCGAGGGCCACGATCGAAGCCTAGATCGAGGCAGAACCGAGGACGTCTGGGTAGAATTATAAAACATGGACTTCGTCCCATTTGCCATTTTTGACAAATTGGAGCTTGGAGAGGGGCGATTTTTGGATATATTTTCAAAGAAAACTTGAGGTAAGTCCCTTATAATAATTTCTGCTCCATAATATTAAATTATCCTCGAATAATCCGACTAGATTACATGATTTTGAGGTGTAAATCGGAGATTGGAACTTAGAAATTTGGAAATAAGATTTGTGGATTTGAGGGTCGAGTTGAGGTCGGATTTTGGTAAAATTTATATGGGTAGACTCGTGGTAGAATGAGCTTTCGGATTTTGTAATTTTTGTTGGGTTCCGAGATGTGGACCCTACAGGCGATTTTTGATCCAATTTCGAGTTTTGGTCTAATTTTGAAGCTTTTCTTGTGGAATTCATTCCATTAGCGTATATTGATGGTATTATACTGATTGTGAATAGATTTGGAGCATTTGGAGGCAGAGTCCAGAGGCAAGAGCATTGCGGGGTAGAGATTTGACCGGTTTGAGGTAAGTAACGATTGTAAATCTAGTCCTGAGGGTATGAAACCCCAAATTTTGTATCATTTTATTATTTTAGTGATGCACATGCTAGGTGACGGGCATGTGGGCGTGCACTGTTAGGAATTTATGACTTGGTCCGTCCCGTAACAACTGTAAAGTTGCATACTTTGTTGAAACCATATGATACTTATATGTTTTAGAAAGAATTTCTGTAAATTGGGTTGAATGCCATGTTTGGGCCTTGCGCCAATGCTGTTTGAACCCTTAGGGGTTGTTTCTTACCATCCTCTCATTGTTTTCGATTGAAAATCTATACTCAGTCATGTTTATGCTTGTTTACCGCATAACTCAGTTTTATGACTCTATTTTGATGCATATAAATGTTTTGGGCCGAATGCCCTGTTTTACTGAAATGCCCGAGTGGCTTGAGTTACTTATGACTGAGTGAGGCCGAGGGCCTGATTTGTGAGGATGAGTGTGGATCGGGGCTGCCCGCCTGCAGCATACTTTATTATTATGGCACGTGAGTTGTCCGTGCAGATTATAGCGCTTGGGCTGAAGGAGCCCCTCCGGAGTCTGTACACACCCCCAGTGAGCGCAGGTACCTACTGAGTGCGAGTGCCGAGTGCTGAGTGACTGGGAGGCATTAGTGATTGTGAGGTATGCCCGAGTGGCACGAGTGACTGTGAGGTTTGCCCGAGGGGCTGTATATGAGTGATGTTTTGCCCGAGGGGCTGTT